TTATTTGAAGATTTTTTAATATTTCATTTTAATTGATTTTGGCAGGGGGTTTGACGATATTTCTTTGTGTATCTTTAATTTAATGGTTGCTATTGGGATTATAATATACATAGTTAACTTTTCACAGTTTGCTGAGAATTTATAATTTTACCACTTCAAGTGGAATATAGATATCTAACCACTATAAAGATTTCTCCCCAGTTTATGGTGTAGTGTCATATGTATTACATCTACATATGTTGAAAACTCTGCCAGACATTGTTTTAAGTTTTTATTTCAACCATCAAACTAGTCTGTTATATATATATATAGATATTAGCTACTTCTGTTGCTCTTTATTTATTCCTTAAGTTCCATACTTTCCTCTGGTATCATTTTCTTCCCCCTTGAAGGATAGAACATCTGTTAGAGCAGTTCTGATGGTGATGAATTCTCTACGTTTTCCTTCATCTGAGAACATTTTTATTTTGTCTTTATACTTTTTTTTTGCGGTACGCGGGCCTCTCACTGTTGTGGCCTCTCCCGGACGCACAGGCTCAGCGGCCATGGCTTATGGGCCCAGCCGCTCCATGGCATGTGGGATCTTCCTGGACCAGGGAACGAACCCGTGTCCCCTCCATCGGCAGGCAGACTCTCAACCACTGCACCACCAGGGAAGCCCTTTGTCTTCATTCTTGGAGAATATTTTCACTAAATAAAGAATTCTGGGTTGAAGTTCTTTTCTTTCAGCACTTTAAACTAGCTGCTTCAAAGATTTTTTTCTTTATCTTTGGTTTTCAGCAGTTCAATTAAAAAAAAACATTATCTCATACCTGATGAACTTGAACTGTACTTTTGCTGACTTACATAAGCTGAAAATATAATTATTTTAATAAAATTTTAGGATATTCTTTGGGTACATTTTTTAGGATAAATTCTAGTATTAAACTGAAAAATGAATCTCTAAATTTTTGAGAGATAGCTGGGACTTCTTAAGTAAACTTGTATAGAGTTTCCATTTACCTAAGCTCTAATTTATAGATATCAAAGTGACATATTTGATTGTTTCACTTTTGTCTTTTGGCAAAATGAGTAGCTATCATCTTTAAAATAAGCCTCCTTTTAGATATTCACTCTGAAGCTTAAACTGATACTATTCTTATAGTATTTCTGCATGTTTACATTATTTTTGTCATGGATTCAAAAAGACAGGTAACTGCCACCATTTAAAAAGATTGTTAGACTTAAAATCAGAAACAATCGTTTAATCCTTTTGAGCGTCAGCTTTCTCATTAATGAAAAGGGGGAGATAGTGTTAGCATTAAATGACTGTGAGAGTTCTTTGAAGAGAAGTCTGAGATTCATAGAAAGCACCCTAGGGAAAACGGCATAACATCCAGTGTTTCTAAGCTGGGACCCAAAGAATGAGGGTGGAGAAATGGAAGGATAGTCATTTGATTATATTTTCAAACTACACATGCTGTGTTTTTTCCTTTCTTTCTCCATACTCTCCCTCCCCCCAATAATTTGGCCTATTAGAGTCTCAAGAGGAGTAGTGAGTAAGGATAGCATGAATTCTTTCATCCATCCACACTTTCCACACTCCATCCCCAACCATGTTAAGAATTGGTGTAATCCAACCATCTGCTTCATTTGACAGGTAAAGAAATCTAAATATAATAAGATGAAATAATCATTTCTTCCAACTTGAAATTATGAATCTCTTGGCCTACTTTATGTCTGTATTTGCTTCTATTTATTTATTTAGGCTGCTCTGGGTCTTCCTTGTGGCACGCGGGCTCTAGAGTACACGAGCTCAGTAGTTGCAGCGCACAGGCTTAGTTGCGGTATGTGGTATCTTAGTTCCCCAATCAGGAATCAAACCTTGGCTTCCTGCATTGGGAGCATGGAGTCTTAACCACTGAACCACCAGGGAAGTCCCTGTATTTGCTTTTAAATGAAGGAATTCTCACTACATGCCAGGCTGTCCTTACATGCCCCTCCTTTATTTGGCAGATGCACATGGTAAAATATTTTCCAAACTATAGTGAAGAGCACTTAATGAAAAACACAGATCTGTTCCAATTTCTCCATGCTCCCAGTTATGTCACAGAAGGAATCACTTTAATATTTTTTAACTTTTGAGTTCTTTTGGATATTACGATAATAACTTGTAATGTAGCTAGTCTGAACTGAGATGTGCTATAATTGTAAAATAGACACCAGATTTTGAAAACTTAGTGTAAAAAGTAATGTGAAATATCTCAATAAGTTTTATATTGATTACATGTTGAAATGATGCTATTTTGGGTATATTCATTTAAATAAAATATATTATTAAAATTAATTTTACCTGTTTCTACTTGCTTTCTTTTTTTAACATTTTTATTAGAGTATAATTGCTTTACAATCGTGTGTCAGTTTCTGCTTTATAACAAAGTGAATCAGTTATACATTCTATTTGCTTTCTTAAAGGTGGCTGTTAGAAATTTTTTTTTAATAAATTTATTTATTTATTTTTGGCTGTGTTAGGTCTTCATTCCTGAGTGTGGGCTTTCTCTAGTTGCGGCAAGCGGGGGCTACTCTTCGTTGCAGTGAGTGGGCTTCTCATTGTGGTGGCTTCTCTCATTTTGGAGCATGGGCTCTAGGTGCGTGGCCTTCAGTAGTTGTGGCACGTGGGCTCAGTAGTTGTGGCTTCACGGGCTCTAGAGCACAGGCTCAGTAGTTGTGGCACACGGACTTAGTTGCTCCGTGGCATGTGGGATCTTCCTGGACCAGGGATCAAACCCATGTCCCCTGCATTGGCAGGCGGATTCTCAACAATTGCGCCACCAGGGAAGCCCCTAGAAAATTTTTAATTATACATGTGGCTTACATTTATTGCTCACATTATATTTCTGTTGGACAGTGTTGCTCTAATTAGTAAGCATATATTTCCCTTAGTTGATGTACCAAGTTTTACTCATGAGGTATCTGATCCTAGACTAATTCTCATTCCTTTTTAAAGGACTAGGAAGGTTTTTTTCTGGGAACTCTGAGGATTTTCTTGTTCTTGGTATTCTAAAATTTTACAATCATACAACTGGATTACAAGTAGGTTTTGTTCATTTTGCTTAAATAAGTTCTTTTAATTTGTGTCACTCTTCAGCTCTGAGAAATTTTCTGGTAATACTTTTTGGATTATTTCTTACCTATTTCTGAATGAGAAAAGGTCTTGTATGACATAAGATCTTGTATTGAGTCTCTGTTTCTCTTTAATTCTCTCTTCTGTTTTCCATCCTGTTGTCTTTTTGGCAGTGGTCCTGAGAGATAACCTTTTCCTAATCTTTTGACAGTATGTTAAGAAATAGGGGGGAGATAGGCAATCATAGTTTTAATTGTCTACAACTCTTTCTTGTTTTCTGTTCTCTTATCATAGAAGCATGTTCTTACCTTTATGACCAGTATCTTTTTGAGTATCTGTGAGGTTTCAAATTAGATTTGTTTTTAAATTTTCCTTTTTCCTGACTTATCCCTTTCTTTTTCAGTCAGTGGTTCATTTTGTTCAGGGCAGGCTTCTAGAAGGTGAAGCATATTTTAGATAAGGAGCGTGTGTAACCAAATGTGTAGAAGCAGAAATGCAAAAAGCTTCCTTTGGGAGCAGTGATAATCCTATCTTTGTAGTACTCTGGGCATAATGAGGTAAGGGTCTGAACTGGCATGAATAAAGTGAGAACTGAAAGAAAGGAACTGGGGCTTCCCTGGTGGCTCAGTGGTTGAGAGTCCGCCTGCCGATGCAGGGGACACAGGTTCGTGCCCCGGTCCGGGAAGATCCCACATGCCATGGAGCGGCTGGGCCCGTGAGCCATGGCCTCTGAGCCTGCGTGCCCGGAGCCTGTGCTCCGCAACAGGAGAGGCCGCAACAGTGAGAGGCCCGCATACCGCAAAAAAAAAAAAAAAAAAAAAAAAAAGAACTGAGTAATTATGCAAGAAAAATAAGTGTAATTGGGAACTGATTTCTCCACTTTAAAAACTCCCACACCACCCTCTTATTGAACTCATTGTATCCTTCCTTGTAATATTATTATATGTATATGTCTTTCTTACTAAATTGTGACTCTTCAAGGCAGGGATTGTATCTTACTCATCCAATTTTTTTTTAGGTATTTATTGATCAACCACTGTTCCAAGTACTGGGATAAAGCAGTCAGCAAAGACAGAAAATCCCAGCCCTTAGGAGCACTTAATATACTTGCTTTTATCTTTCATAGTGCTTAGGATTTCACAATGCTAGGTATTCCCAAGGTAAAATTTATTATTTAACCCACCTTTATTTATTTATTTATTTATTTAATTTATTATTTATCTGGCTGTGCCAGGTCTTAGTTGTAGCACACAGGATCTTCGTTGCGGCATGTGGGATCTTTACTTGCAGCATGCAGGATCTTTAGTTGTGGAATGTGGGATCTAGTTCCCTGACCAGGGATCAAACCCTTTCCCCCTGCATTGGGGGCATGGAGTCTTAGCCACTGGACCACCAGGGAAATCCCTTAACCCACCTTTAAAAAGTAGTATTAAGGTGGTCTATTTATCTGTTTAGGTGTGTTGCAAAATGTCTTCTGATATTGAAGTCTTCTCTCTATAACTTTATACAAAAAATTATTATGCATTCAGATTAAACTAATATCCCTCACCTTATTTAGAGGTAATATATATCATTTTGATGTAATGGAAAAGAGCATCACCTTGGGAAGAGTCTAGGGTTCTAGTTTGGCTTTACTGTTGAATACGTTTGCACATGAACTTTTACCCTCTTTATCTCAGAGCTTCATATTCTCATATATAAAATAAAAGGTTGGTATCTTTTAGCACTGACACTTTGTGGGACAAAATTTTCATTTCTATGGACTTTGAATAATGTTGTGGCTAAACCATCTAGTACATTTAATTGAATGATTGGAAACAAAACTGAGAGCTGTCATTTCATATGTTTCACCTGAGTTATAATCAGTGACTAAGTATTGTTTTTTTCTCATTTACAGACTTGGGTCTGGATCAATATACAGTAAAACGCTTTGATGGAAAGGTGAGTGAACTATGATACAACGTATATATCCTGTTGTTTACTAAGAAGATTTTTAAGTTCCTCTGGAATTATTTGTGAGAAATTTCTGAATACCTGTTTGTCTTATCAAAAAAGTTTGTTGTTTAGGTTGGGAGGCCTGTAAGTGCCTTCAGATGCTTCTACAGAAAAAAATCAAGCAGAAGGCTCTTCTGTGTTTTTCCGTATAGGGTAATACTGACAGGTTACCCGCTGTATATATTAAGGGCTAATTCAGTGTATGTTGACATTTGAATTTTAATTCAATAGCCATTATAAAGGTTAACAAGTCCCCCAATATTACATTTACATTTCTTATACAAACACCTATCTGATTTGACCTTCCTTAGGCTTTGATAGTATATAGCAATAATCCTAACTAGAAAATTACAGAAGTCCTTACAGCTTTATAACAATTATGAAGAGCACCCCAAATTGCATATAAATTTGCATTATACTTACTTTCAATTCTTTATTTTATGCCTGCATAAATCATATAATAAATCATTTAGTATAGAAGATAAAACTTTCAATTTTATTATCTCAAAACAGTCAGTTAAACATGTTTTCCCCTTTCAGGCTGAATTCTCCAAAAAGAAAAATTAAATATTACACAGGGTCAGAAAGAAAAGTAAAAGGTCAATTTTAAAGAGGAGGAAGAAAGCGCAGAAGGAAGAAGAGCGAGTCAGGGATGGCTCCACCAAGTTTAAAGAGAAGGAAATCAGAAGGAAAATCATGAAGTGGCTGGAAAAGGCAGGATTACAAACAAGGGTCTAGGTGGGTAGAAGTCAGGGTTAGTAGAAACTGATCTTGCAGGAATGTGTCAATCCTGCATCCTTATGTAAAACTACATGTACTGGTAAGGTGAAGATATAAGTGCTAAGGTCTTTTGTAGAAGGAATGAGTGGCTGCCTTAAGAGCTGCAAGATCTCAGCTAAGGCTTCCAGCCTAAAAATTACCTTTTCTATTCAGGTGGCACCGTGCCTCCATCTGTGGGTATCCTCTTTTTAAAGTCACATATTCTAAAAGAAAGCATGAACAAAAAGAAAGGGCATTTAGATGTTAGGAGACCCTGGTTTAGAGTCCTGGCTCTGCTTTGGGGCAGACCAATCTTCTCTCTGATCTTTGGTGTCTCTGCGTTATGTATGATAAAATACCTTATCCATGTGAGGGGTTGCTGCAGACATTGATGTCAGGGTCTGATTTCAGAGTCTTTGGCAGGTTAGGTCCCTGTCTTATCTGTCTTTATGTCACTCAGAGTCCAGAGCATGCCTGGCACATAAGAGGTAATCAATAAATGTTTGATGACTTGGAAAAAAATCAGTTAGTTAATAACATATTTCTTGGAGATATGACTCATTATGCCACTAATATCTTACTGCAAAATCAATTTTACAGATCACTTTTTTTTTTGGCTACTGAAGGAATCCAGAGTAGCATGAGAATTCATTCCTCATAAACCTGAAAACATGTAAAGAAGTTGAATATGTGCAAGTTGAACAGCAACTTTACATGTTAAAAGGGGAATTTCCATTCCTAGAGAGCTCCCGCATATAAAAGTCCTAATGGTAACTCATGTTTCATATGTGCTGTTTAATTTTTTCCTGTTTTGGCCAGTACCTGTCCACTTGATGCTAAAAATTTGCGACTTTTGGCATGACTGATGAGCTCCACGTTTGTTTCAATTGTATTAAATTTATGAGCTCTACATTTCTTACCATTTGTGCCATTTGCATTTTTTTTGATTTCCACTCATTTATATAAAATAGCAAGAGTAAAATGCAGTAAAACATTAAAGTATTTGTGTACCCATCTTGCTATGGAAACAAAAATGGCAGTGCTTCTATGTTTGGAAGGCAATCTTAGCAGATTATAGTTGCAAGTGTTTATGCACTGAAGCATAAAATTCTGAAATCAGAGTAGGAAAGGCAAGATTTAAGGATATTAATGTATAATCTTTGAAAGTATGACCTACATGAAAGTCAGGCATATGAAAGTTGACTTCATCCAGGGGAACGGGTTCTGAAAGCAACTAGAGGAATGGGATACTTATATAAGGAGGTATAAAACTGAGCCAGTGACCCTGAGCCAGATAGCTTGTTCCCCTAGCAGAGTGCACAGATTTCCCTTTCATCCATGTTGTAATATGCATGTTAATTCCTTTGCCAGGTTCTTCATTTAAGTCCTGTATTAATTTCTATCAAATATATTATTAAGGTTTTGTTCTGGAGTGAAGGTTATGTTTCCTAAATAGGATTCTTAAACTTAGTTCACCTCTAGTTTATATCTTTATGAATTGTCTTTTATTTCATATGAAGTCTAAGAAAGTAGTTTCTATACTGTTTTTAAATCTTATATAATGACGAGTACAAATTTCATTCAGTGTTTAATCAGTTTAGTAGTTTTTTCAGGGTATTTTGCCATGCATCAAGATCTTCACTCGGTAATTATAAGAATCAATGCTTATTCAACTGTCGATCTTAATTATTTTCCTTTGGATCTTCATGACTCTTGTTTTCCCAATCAGAAAATCTCAATTCTTGAGTAGCAGTTTCCAGAGTATATAACTCCTAAGATAATATCCTGTTGAAAAAACAGATGTACATGGTAATTATAGTAAATTTCATGCATGATGGTTAGAAATTAGTAGAAAGTTAACAACCTTGAGGAATTTCCTTTCAAACTTACTTTGATTTTTTTAATGGATAATTTTCTTTCTCTCTCTCTTTTTTTTAAACTTGGAAGATGAACTAGTTATAAATTGCTTAGAGAAATATTTATTCTCATCCTCTTATTCCCCCATCGTTTTAACATTTGGCACACCATTTAATTAAGTCCATCATTTGACCAGTAAGAAACACTAGCTTATTTTATTGCCTTCTAGTTGAATTGCACTTTAGTGCTTTTGTCATTGAAAGCAAGAACAAATGTACAAGTAGTATCATCTTCCTAGGGTGTTTTCTCATTTGTACTTGAATTTCATACAAATTCCAGATACAAAGTAGAAAAGAATGGCCCAACTGATATTGACAAATAATTGAACAGTTATTTCTTACTTTGATACTTGTCATCTTTTCTCCTATTCTTTTTGACTAGAAAATTCTCAAGAAGTAAATGAAACATTCCTGTTTCAACTGATACTCTGTGAAACTGAATTTGATTAAGCAGCTGTTGAATTTGGGGGAAGATCTTTTTCCAGAGCTTATCACTGTCATATGTTAATGTATGCTAATCCCTTACTCTAAGGATGCTTAGCAATTTCCTTTGTAGAAAAGTCTTGCAGTACCTTGTTATTGGCACTTGCATCATTTATGCATTTCACTATCTACCATCTACTAACGCAGGCGTATTTCGATATAAAGAAGCTATAGTAAGTGACCTTCGGTTTTAAGAATATATTTTGTAGTTAAATGATATTTGTAAAAATATTCAGACTACGTTTAAAAGTTTAAAAACTTCAAAGCTTGAAAGAGTTCAGATTTTCTATTAGAGGATATTTGAAAATTATTATAAATAGAGTGTTAGCACTAGTATATAGATGGTAATACAAAATATGGTCTGGCTTTTGTTTTAGGGTAATATATCACAGATTTTTAAAAAATGCACTCTCTCCCTACATTGTCCATGCGTTCTCCTTATGATTTGTTAATGCAGTTATTTCATGAATTTTGGATTATTTCTTTAATGAAAACTATATTTTTTCCTGAGTTTAATTTTTTATCATCCAATAATTGGTCTATAAAACAAAGCACCATTTCTAAGTGGAGCCTGTATTTTACATAATCGTCAAATATTTGTTCATTTAATCAGTTAATTGCTGTCCTGTATTGGTGTGGTTTATCTCAAGTGGTTTATACCCTTCATTATCCTGTTTCTCTTACTTCTCCTTTTTTTCCTCAGCATACCAAATATAGAAATTATGGTTTGTATTTTCTGTTCCTATCGCCTATAATAGACAACTTTCTCCATCTCAGACCCTACCTTTTTTTTTTTAAGTTACAGTAGAAAACTGCATGGTCTGGGTAAAATTGTTTCTAAGCAAAGAATACCAGTATTCCAGAGCTTTGATGTAGTCCTCTTCTCTCTTCTAAAAACTTTAAAGTTCGTACTCTTCTTTTAAGTAACAGAATCGCCCATTGAAACTAATTGTCCATCATTATCATTCCACCATGTATTTTTTTTGGAAAATAGATTTTTTATTCTTTCCTTTCTATGAAGTTGCCTTTTCCCCTAACCTCTCCCTGAACATTTCAGAAGTCCTGCCTCTGGAATGAATTTTTTCATTATTTGTAATTACAGTCCTCTTAGAATCTCTCCTAATTTGGGAGAAAGAATTAACATGTGTTTTATTCCCATCTCCTTTATGATACTTAAAAGAATGTTTGTTTACATGGAACAGGAAAACAATTTAAATCAAATTAAGATGAAATGTCCACATTGAGGTGAAAGAGATAAAAGTATGGTCAAAGTCTAGAAAAGGAAATACCAATTACAGTGTTTATAATAGAAAAGATATGCAGAAAAAAAGATGGAGCTGTAGTTAAAAAGCAAAGCTTTAATATAACAAAATGCTTTTAATTGCTTACTAGGTAAAAGTTCTTTTAAAAATATTGGTAAATGAATTTTAAAATTCCATTCCCTTTAAGGGTAAGTCGTGGTTCCCCAAGGGGAGTGTGGACACATTTTTTTTTCCTGTAATGTAATACTCTTAATGCTTTATTTGAGTTGTGATTATTTACTTCATATCACAGATAAAATATGAGTCTGGAATAAGGTCTAGTATTACTATTACTCCTTGACATGTATAGTAAGTTATGTGAGGGATTTCCTGTCTTCTAAGAGTAAATTGTATTGCAGATCAAACAAATGTAAATTGGGGGGGTGTTGCTGAAATTCTTATAGGATAGAGTTTGGTGAATCTTCACATTTATTTGAATTGCTTTAATTTTGCTCAAATTTTTATAGCAGGATTGATGTTCTTATGA